TAACTGAATCTGTGAACTTTTTTGTGTGGAGTTTGGTCAAACGCTGGTGGCAGCCATGTTTGTTTTTATTATTAGAGGACGCTTACGCGCGTATTTAGAATTCGCATTTCCTTATGTGCTAGGATGGAAATACTACAGTAAACTTACATGATTCTAGTAGCATATGACATTCCTGCGTATCCATGGGAAATTTACCGAGAAACATATAACACGATAACACCAAACTTAGTCTAAGATGAATACATTGAGAAACGCAACAATCATTATTATAATGGCGGAATATACATCATTAATATGTATTAGAGACGGAAAAGTGACAATTCATATAATTCACTGAACAAAATACAAATGTACATCCAAAATTTGTTCAATAAATTGTTCGTTTAGCAACCAGTCGAATTTTTTTTTATATGTTTCCTCAAAATTATAAATATTCAATGATATAGTTAGCCAACCGGTGTGACAAAGACTGTCTTGAATCAACTACAATGAGTTGATTGGCAGTGTCAAGAATATGTGTATGAATTATTCACAATATTGTCAAGCACACATTCATACCATTGTATAATGTTTTGTTTCAGGAAAAAAAACACATATTGTATAACTCAATAATAATATATGTTTGAAATAGTTAAATTATTGTGTTTATTATTCGGAAACATTTACCATGGCCTGGTTACGCGTGCTATACGCACTCACATATGTGTTGCTATAGTAATCATAAATTAATAATTTCTTTATTCCAAGTGATTATGACTCTACACGAATTGAATTTCAGTTCGTTTGTTTATACAATGTTACGTGTACATAAATACAAATTCACAAAATGCAAAGCCTAACAGACATTGATAGATGTTGTGAATGTGACCGAATGTATATCTACAAATAGCAATGTACTTTCTGTATGATACACCTTCACACGCCACGCTGAGTTGAAGAAATGTATGGCAAATCTAACAGCGAGCAGAACCAATTAATGTATAATGTCTTACCGTATACTATATAAAACATTACCACTTGGTTCTATTCTCAACAGCAGGTTTTCCTTTGGGCTACTATGAATGGCGGCAGACTTTGCGTTACTGAAAAACAGATCCGGTACCCAGACCATGTTCAACACATCACCACCGTTGATAACGATTGTACTGGTTGAGTTGTGACGCAATCGGGGATCGTGCCACGCTTGTCTGAGAAATATTGTAAGTTCATAATCCTTAAAAATAAGGAAAAGCAAATGTTTATCTTTAAATAAAATATACTTGATTAAAGTTGCGATTTGTTGAAGGTTTGTGTTATCATGCAATCTGACCATCAAACTATTAAGTCCACATTTGGTTGATTCCAGCTGGACACGTCTAAACATAATTGGTCGAGTGTTATGTTCACAAAATAGAATTCAATTAGAAACTTTCTGTTAATCGCCAAAACATCATATTGTTATAAAGTATTTCTGTCAAAATAATATCAACGTAATATTACAACAGCATGATACATTTTATCATTTTTTTTTCATTATACTAACTGGGTATTCAACGTAATATTCAGATTGACTGTGCAACGTTACCATCGAATACTGTACTACGTATTAAATATCGGTAAATTAAATAATGTTTTGTTAATGTTTTATTTGAGGTTATCTTAGATTCGAATCATACAAAACGAATTGTTGGAGTTCTGATAAGTGCCATTGTTTTTGAAATAGTGATGAAATAGACGATGATGACGCTTAATGTAACTGGCAATAACGTTTGATGTCTCACTGGTTTGTTAAAATAGATATCCCTTCATAATTGGTCAAAACATGTTGTTATTTGTAATACAAATGAGAAAACAATATACAACTTACCAGTAAATCAATTAACAATTTTTAATATTGAAATCCGTTCAATTCATCTTTGACATATATCCACTTACCATACTGCTTTCTGACACGGAGTCAAAACTGTTTATATTAATATTACAGGCAACGACTGTAGGCTCACCTTTAACAAATAAGGTTATATAGAATTAGTATATATCTACTTGTTAAATTACATGTATCACTATAGTTGTACCTTTGTTTCAGTGTGTGTGATATACGACTCTCGGGCGCCTTCAATGGAAAGATATAAATTAGATAGAGCAAATACCCTCTAAATGTTTATTAGAAACCCCGCGATATATATAAGCAATTTTGAACCTTGCAATTTTATTATACATACATGCCTGCTGATGTTCGCTTTGTTCCAAGGCTTGGGTCGTTGTTGAATTTGAATTACATCGAGTTTATGACACAAGGCAATCTCTAAATGATTTTTGTTTCAATCTGCCCCATGAGCATTGTTTTATTTGCTAAGCGTGAAAATGTAAAATCAGAACTTTTTTCCATATAATTTTTAAATTATAGATTTAGTACTAACTGTTGGTTAATGATACGTGATAACATTGGAGAATTGCTAAATTAGTTGGCTAATCACAATTTTGAGGTTTGAGGCAATCGTGAATTATTATGTTAGCCGTTTTGCACATGTATGTATTTAAATGTGTGTGAATAACCACGCTACTATAAATAATAAACAAAAAATACAAAATAATAGTATATGATTACGTAGGTTTGGCTTTCGTTGTATGTTTCAAAGTGATTTAATAAACTTTAACGCAAAATGGTTAGAAATTAAATTTTGGATCACACGAATGATAATTTAAGTAATTTGGAATATATCTTGATACACAAGTACCATTTAATATCACAGATATTGGTTTTAGTTTTTTTTATATCCAGGAAATATTCTAATATAAAGTAATAGGATGCAAAGTGTCCACGCAGTAAATAATTTAGTTAAATATAAAGCCCATGAAAATAATTTGATCAATATTGCGGGAGCCACTTATAAAAACCTGGACTAGACAAATTAAAATTTAATGACATAGAACCTATTTCATGTTATAGTAGCGATGCAAACCTCATCAGATGCAGCTCACATTGTGCTTCTCTTGAAGCGGCTACAATTACCTATCAAAAAAAATGATTTTTAAAAGGTCGAATTGTTTTATTGTAGTTGATAGTTTTTGTTTTTGTTGACATGGAAAACATAACATAACTGGCGTCGTACTTTATCTTCACAATTAAAGTTTGTTATATAACGCAATTGTGTTAGTATCTTGATGATAATCCGTAGGTATTGAGTAAAGAAGAAAGCAGCAGTGATAATTATCACAAAACAAGATAATGATCTCCACTAACTTCATTGATATTGAGCCAAATGTTTGTATAATGAATGTGTAAAAGTAAAATATAACAAACAAGTTTTGTATTATCAGTTAAATGCAATCGACATCGAGATTAATTATTCTGCATTTTTACAATTTAGAAACAAGCATTGTTTGTTCAACTTATCTCGACAAATATCTTTCCGTAACATCTATATATCTTTACATAAAATAAGATGTTTACTAATATAATGCATGGAAGTCTAAATTTTGGATTTGAAAGATCACGAAGCAGACAATTATCTATATACAATGTATCTGAGTTTGTTCAGTAACGTTCAATGAGTTTGGGGGAGGATTTATGTTTACTTTTTTATTGATGAATGTTCTTAGCCTGCCATTTGTAGACACTTTCCCATTTTTGTATTTCACATCCTTCATTTTTTGTGTATCACTTACATCAATGATTATTTTAGCACAATTACTATTTCCCAAAAATATGAATGTGAGTGCTTTGCATCTTTATAAATATATTATGATACCATATAATCATATACATTGAACTAATGCATTAGAACACCAGGGTGAAGCTCCACTACTGTCACCATTATTGATAATATGAAATAAAACCTCTGAAGCAAAATGCTACTGTGTTTAACTAATAACACACACATTAACAATCAAATTATAAAGCAAGTCACAGTACGAATGTAGATATTATAATATTATGTCATTTTCCGTATTTCGACATACGATCGGCAATAGGGGCGTTCAAACTGAAAACAATTGGGAAAGATAACACAACAATACAGGATGTAGGTTCTGGTTTTTTTCTAGATAATGTTACAAAAAGGTAACTCGTAAAAGGTAACGTAACTTCAAACAAACTAATAAACCATTCACAAACACTCTTATTCCCAATGTGTATATCAATAACAGTACTCACCGCTTACCGTTGGACGTAGTTTACTTATCTGTGAATTTTCGATGTGAGTAAGTAATTCGAGATCTTCTATAAAATACTCATTCAGTTTTCTATAACAAATGATAATAACTTATATACGATAGTGCAAAGTATCAGGTAAAATACAATAGTTACAATGCGACATAGAACATTGTTCAAAAAGGCAATTAAGTATACTGATCAAAATAATGTAAGAACTCAATTTTTAAGATGCAAGCAACTAATGTAATTCGACCTGCACATATGTTGAAAAAAGTGACACATGCATACTAGACACGAAACAATATGAAGGGGAAATGTTGCTAACCCGTATTTTAAAACATGAATGTATGAATTACATGACAGTTCGCTTGCTTTATATTTTGCTAGTACCTTCTTATGGCCGATATTTCAACAATCGAAATTCATTTGACTGTATATTTGCATAGTCTACTTCTGACCAATGAGACAACCCGACGTTAACAATTTCACGACACAGTGTGAATGTGAAATCAACATTTCACTTAACATTGAACCTTGTACACGCTTGCCAAATTGCCAGATCAAATATGATTGAGCTTCAAGCAATTCCACCTCGTACTGCGCAAACTGACATTACAACAAGTAAACAAGAGTCAATGCACTATAAAGTTGTATGTATCATACTTTACAATATTTGCATTATATGAATGTCAGTACGTGCATAATTATTGGATTTTATATGATCTTTTGATTCAATTTGTCGATAATGTAAAAACATCGAAAACACTCCTTCATCAGGCCAACAATTATCCTAAAATACATTTAGTTATTTAAAAAAAATATGGTTCAGTTATACAATTGTCCAATTGAATAATCATGCGTGTTTAATCGTGTTTTATTCAATGTTTATCACTAGCGTGCTTTTAAATTACGATATACATATGTCAGTGTTTTGTTCTGACACATACAATGCGAATGGCAAATTATAGATTCATTTTTCCTAAACCAGAAAAATCATATTCCAGATTCTCAACTAATTAGACATTTCTCACAGTTAGATTATAATTTATATAAAATTGCCGCATTGGCACATATAATGAAACGTTCATTGTTGGGAAACATAAAATGATAATTGATAATATTATCAGTATGGCTGTTTTGTTTTTCTTTAAATTTTTTAACGGTCTGACATAAATGAACCAGCAGTCAAATAATCAGTCAATGCATGATGGCCATCCTCTCCAGCACTAACAATATTCTATATTATAATTGCGCTCAGTGCTGTTAACATAAGTGTCAGTCATATTTATTATGAATGATTTGTTGTTCATTAAGTGCGAGAAAGTACATTGATTTGTCTGTATCTGAATGCGCACATGGAATTGAAATATGTTTTGTTCTATAACTGTTACGTAATTTGAAATACCGACAATTAACAATTTTAGTTCTAATATGTTAAACAAACCTAATAACCGCACTGTAAATTGTCGCTAGTTGTTCCAGAATTCAAACATTGTTAGAATACAAATACATAAACATATTATAAGCATTTAATGACAAGTACGTTGCTAACCCATATAACAATATTTCCTGACAGTTAGAACGAACTACTCGTAAATAACATTTACTTTCATCATCGACAATTTTAAAATAGAATGCAACTTATATAGACACATTGCACATAAATCGGAGAGAGGGTTTTACAGAAAGTATGCACATATAATATAAAAGTTGTTTGAACAGTTAGTTTCCAGAATGAAATGCAAATATGAGTTTCAACCATAAATAGTTTGTCAGAAAAGACACAGAAACGGGTAGTGTAAACAGACGTAAGTGAAAGTAACAACATTGTGATTTTACGAAACAGTCCGTTTGTAGTATATTGTAACATTGTATTTATATTTTTATTACGCCAAAAATAAGCTACATTGTATTCATCTGAATGTCAAATATGAATGAATGGTAAACCATCTTCACAGTCTTATTAAGGTATGTCAAGTACAATCGTATATTCATGAGAATTTCAAAAAATACTGACAAAATATCTGAAGAAGCTGTAAAGAATATACAAAATCAACACGAGCATTTGCGAGAAATATAGAATAGGCGATGTTCCCAGTGAAAATTAACCAAACGTGAATTTATTTCCACATACGTGGTATTTTTAGAATATTTAAAACGTCAAATAACTATGTTTTAAAGTAAGAGCCTGCTGTGAATGACAATTTTAAAAAAATATGTCTAAATTTAGGTATATCTTATAAATGTTGGCTATAAAGAAAGTTATGCCGACCCTTTTTGAACCTATTTTTGTTTTGGTTTCAGTGGTGACTTCGAAAAAATTTCGTATCTGAAGTGTGTGCGCGGCGATATAGAGTAAAACAATATAATGCAATTGTGTTTGTTTGTCTTAACTGACAAATGAGATGCCATTTTTGTTTGACTAGAATCCATAATACATGAACAATGAAGCAACATTTGGATTCTACTTCTATCAAGATAAGACACTATAGAAACTATAAATTTGCCGGCATCACTCCTATGTGTGATTTGTTGCGTATATATGTTCAACACACAGCTCACACTATAGTGCGACATATTTATTCCCAATACCAATGTCTATCAGAATCGTACCGGGAAATAACCAGCGACACAGCCACTCGGCAATTTATTTTGCAATCACATTCATATCCCGCGAGTTTAAACAAGTGTTACTTACCCTAGAGCCATCGCAGCAAAAGTAATACTAGTGAATAAACCATGCACCATCACTGTACTCCATGTGACGACCATGACACTGTGGCAAAATGTGCCTGATTGTTCTGTCGTTGGCAGCTGCTATCCTGAAGACGACTCACTTTGCTCTCTGTTAAATACAATCAAAAAGGATGTTAAACATGCGTCGATCCCTCGTACGGTTCTCTGAGCCCTGCTCTCTCCTGATGTGTCTAGACTGTTAATAGCATTCACTTACTGAGGCTATAGGTATTACGGTACATAAACAGTTTGCATGCTATAATCATATACAACGACGCTCATTGCATATATATTTGTTTATTTGATACTGGTAATGTGATCATTGAACGACTAATACGTAATTCGATCCCGAATAAACTAATAGACTGCGGAGTTAAACGGGATGTGCGCTACGTGAATTTACAATACAGGCGTAAAAGGTCGTCAAAGGATTTGTAGCAGACGTATGACACCTCACAACTTCGGACACGTTAACTCTCCATAATATGAATAATATAAACCTAGCTATAATATAGCATATTTATTTATTTGTTTGTTATATCGTCGTTGTATACTCAAACTGTATATATTTCCAAAGCTTGGAAACGTATGGGGATGTGATGTAATTACGTGTTTATATTGGATTAATATGTATGTGGTGGTCCCTTGTTCAAATTATATACGCTGGCGGTGAAGCATGGTACTTGTATTCGCATGCGCACTATGTGTATAATTGAGATGGTGGCCTGGTGTGTTCAGTAATGCACCAATTACGAACATGTTTTGCGCTATATGTTTATGGTCTCAAACAAAAAAAATGCATGTGTTAACGTTTATATATTGATGGGAACTACAAGTGTTGAAAAAAACATTATAGTAATGATATGTTCTCACAGCGAAAGTAACCTTGTTCAAATTCAGCGGGATCGACAGTATTCAAACAATGTGCCAGTGAATCGCAGTGCTTTACACACAAAAATATACCAGCCAGGACATCCATGTGTCATTACTATTTGTGATATTCCTGCTGGGAATGTAGAACACCTTGTGAACTTAAAATACATTTTGCTTGTAGCAGTGTGTGTCTATGATCTTAGAGCGATCTTTATGTATATGTGTACAGCTGTCGGTGACTATGTAGCGCTGGCCATGTAAGCAGTGGTTCCGCTCCTGCACAGCTCCATTGTTAGATTTTCTGCGTTCCAGTTGCAGTTAGCTAAACGTTGATTTTGCTAACGATTGAGAAGCCAGTGAATACTAGACACAAATCGGCATAGGTTTTCCAATATTAAACTAAACTAAACTAGTGAATCTATTTTTGCACGATTTGTCCAACAAAGTAATAATGAATGTACACACAATACGAAAAACGTAAATAACAATCCAGACATATAACGAATTTGTTTGGAGTACAACATGTGTATATTCATATGTTCATTTCGTATAGCACGCTTTTAGTAAACTTCGCATATTTAGCGTAGCTTGTCTTCGATTTTCATGTTTTTTTTTCAAATTTAGGTGAGATCATGACACAGCTGATTAAAGCACGAAACGTGGAACATACGTTATACAGACCCAATAGAACGGTTTTGATTGAGTGTACTGACTGTGCCCGATTCAAGTTACAGAGTCAGATAGTTGTTTATTTTTAACTAAATGCGGTACATGTTAGTATAATTAGCTCTCGACTTGCACAAAGTGTTTTAGTCTCCCGAGAGGAAAGTATATGAACTAAGTAAATATATTATGATTTCACGTTAATATGTTTTAATTATGACGACAATACTACTAATTCATATAACACAAAATCGTTGTTATTGAACTTTAATAAATCAGTAAATATGGCATGCACAATATATACGTTCAGTGTGACACCATTCTCCGAACGTGCCCAAGTAATCTTTCTTTTTTTAGTAAATGGTAATCATGGTAACCAGCCCTATACTTCGACTTGTGCTTTGCATAGTTTTATAATGTTTGTAGTCTAAAGAGAGGTAATTATATAAACAGTAGAAATGTAATACGGTATAAATATGTTTGATGACATAAATAGCTAAGGCAACACAGCTGACACGCTTTGTTTTTTGACAGGTTTTGAATAATGGCTCGTATCTTCACTGTTCCTACAATAACTACAAAACAGAATAAGTGTGTGGGTACGAATGTTCCATGTATGATAATATACAATATGGGAAACCGAATTAGGTCAATACTCACATAATTATTTTTATTTTAATTTAATATTACTGTCACAGTGCTACATATGTTATTACAATATGTGCCTTGATGTGGCGTGTGCATGCGTGTAACATATAAATAAATCGATTGTACCACCTGTTATATATTTGAGAAGACTTGTTATTTTACAACCAGTCGTATCATAAGCATTGTTTTTTTCCCAACCACTGTTCAATAAATAATAAAGCAACACGATGAGAACGCGGCTTAAACGTGGGGATTTAAAACCACTGGTATTACTTAATATATTTTATTACATATCAGATATAAAGCGACTCTATTTTGCATAACGTATAGTATGTGACACTGGCGTTTTTACTATTTCCATTATTGAGCAATACTAGAACATACATCGATAATTTATGGTTCATATATATATATATATATATATATATATATATGATTAATACAAATACACTATCGAATTTTAACAAGCAGTACTAGTAATTCACGTTCAATGCTATGCGTACAAATTATTTGTGTTACAGTGATCCAATGCTTCCAAATACAATCCCTGAAATATTATACAGGTAAGTAAAAATAGTATGTAATAAACATGACTGTGTGACGCCATCCACTATGTTACTCATGGAAAATTATTTAATGTTAACCTGTATGAACATATCATTTATTTGATCTATCAATCAGATTTGTTTCCCTATTATTTAGATTATGATTTCTTATAATAGATGTCGAGTGTAGGCATGACAATAACTTGTATATGACTGAAATCAATCACGATATATTTTAATCACCGAGATAAGTTTTCGTTTCATAAATTAAAATCAGTAAACACGAGTCTTACATGTCTAACGGTTTGATTATCAGTTCTATTTATTATTCTATTGAAGTATTTCTGTCAATAGATCCACAACAGTTCAATTAAATTTACGTGTATCGCTGTGATTGGAATGATTATCACGTTAACCTACATATGTGGATAATAGGTTGAAGTCGGGAATTACGCCTATAATTTTAATTAAAGCCACGGAAGTCATTTGTGATTCGCGAGATCATGTTATCAAACGTCAGTTGTCGGGACGCTTATGATTGCGGTTTATCAATAGAAACAACATAATATATGGGTAGTAGTCGTCTACATAAGGCAGATGTGAGTTCACTTCAGTTGGCATAGACGCACTTTGGATGCGTCCACATGCCTACAGTTTTACCTCGTATTGTGCTTACTGGACCGCAATTTAACCGAATCAAATTGGTTATTCTTGCAGTAAGTGTGTCACGACCTTTAGTATCACGATACATGACAAAAATAGAATACGGTTAAAACGTAAATGAGCACACCGTATATTTACAGTGTCAGCTATGAATGAGCTGACGGGCGTTATGAACTTGTCACAGTGCTACACTGCCACTAATAGCTGAATTGGCACGTTGATTGAGTGATATTATTTACTTACACGTTAAACTGTGTTAGCCTACTTCATTTTAATTTAGACTTAGTAACGTATTAACACTGCAAGCTGGGTCATCAGGGGTCAGTAGTGTAACGCATATACGCCTACCAGGATATTACGATCTAGCATATCGTCATGTTGAGTTGGGTATCAGCGATTACTACCAATATTTGTATAAAAAATACATCGCACAAATAAAAAGAAGATACGTTTACGACAGCACGTTTATAATTTTCGACATGGTCGAATAAGAATTAGTTGATTGGTGCGTCCAATACATAGTGTAATTATTAAACGCAGTAACCGGGCTTTGCATATGAAACTGTCAATTTAAACTACCCACTATAATATAGCCATGCATAAGTAAATCGGAACCAACGTACCTGTATTGGAAACAACATTCAACAATGAGCACCTAAACGCCCACATCACCGTTAGTACTACGAGAACGTTATACAAAGCGTTGGTTCATCGTTCATTTCCTAGACAAACGCTGTGCATTGTGGGCGCGGATGCTGTAATAAAATTATGCCAGCTGATCGAAATACGATCACTGGGAGAGCAGTACAAGATTCGTATTTTGCATATTAACCGATACAATCTGACGTTGCAGTTACCGCTGATTATTTTTTGTCAATTGAAATATACGATCCCGGAAACTAATTAAATCTAACAATGATTGTGCGGCATTGCACATTACTATGACCAGTTTAACATCGATGTACTTTGACGGTCAGACATTTGATTATAAATACCAACATCTTTTGCTATTAAAACATCAAATACTATTATTGTTGAAAGAAGAAAAGCAAACAAAACGATACGTAATATATTACCTGTAAAATTAAAATATTATTTTATACGGTCACTTGACCTAATTTGGCACCGCGTGTATTATAATTACCTAACATAATACGTAAGGGCTTTCTAACGAAGTATTACGACCAATATATGTGTATTGACACTTTTCAACACAAACAATTAACAACTTGCCTAATAAGCATCATATATTACAGCGTGATAGGTGGCGTCATGCTAATGAATGGGTAGAATTGTATCCTGTCGAACCGTCACGCCACTGTAGCTCTGAATTTGAAATGACAACTTATTATTAGAAAACATGAAACAAATTTGACACTGATTTCAAAAGATGCATATTAAAGCAGACTTGTGATTCACCGCTGATAATATAACAACGTCGTTTGTTTTGTTTTTTCAAGGAGAGTTTCGAGTATCTAGTATCGTGAGGTGATTTATTCCCTGGCAAGCTGGTTGTTGTATTCTGAAAGTATTCATTTCCGTTGAGATTCTATCGTTGTGATTAATAATGTAATATCACTG